CATCACCAGAGTCTACCTCTAGGTACCTGGAGGATTTACACTTCGGACAGTAATTTGCGTCCTTGTGTTCTTTCCTAAATAGGATGCACCCCTTCGGACAAACATGTATCTTGTCATACGGCATCTTAAGCATATGAAGGAGTTTCTCTGCCTCGTACAAGTTCATCGGCAAAGTGTGCTTCTCCGGTAGCATGGTGCCAAACACGGCCAACATCTTATCGAAGCCTTCTCGACTCAGGTTTAACTCGACCTTCAACCCCATTACGCATCCAACCGCATCCAGCTGAGAAATCATTGTACGCTCGTGAAGGGGTTTATGTGCCGAGTGCAACATTTTGTAGAAGTCCTTTGCGGATTCCTCCATCTCCTCCTTCTCACGTCGTTCAGCGAAGTGAGCTTGGTGGGTGTCATCTAGCATGTCTGCTACCCTGGCATCATCATCAAAAGCCTCAAGGCGTGCTCTCACCACCTCCGCTCTTATACGATCTGCTTCACCATGGTAGATCCACTGCTGATAGCCAGGCGTATAACCATTGAACACAAGATGTCTACCCATGGTCTTCTCGTCTACCTTTCTCCTGTTGTCACATTTGCTGCAGGGACACCAAACTAGAGAATGTCCTCCTGCTCCTAGGCCAAATGCATGTTTCAAGAAATAATTTGTCCCCTTCACCCATTCATAGTCGTAGTCACTGCCGCTTCTCCAGCCCGTGTACATCCACTGACGGTCCTCCATCCTTTAACATTTACATCACAGAGTATTGTGACCATCAATTGCATCTACGCGGTGTTCCTAATGCCTAATAGGTGAGGATAGGTCCTAATCCCACCCGCGGATGCGTAGATGAGGTCAGTTTCCAGGCTCCGCTCCTCTCCGAGACAGAATTTCGGCAGCACCTTCCCGCTGTTCTCCCGATACACGTCCTGCTAGGGAGAGTGTGTATCCAGAGAACAACAGGGAAGAGCTGCCGAAACTCAGTCTCGGACCGGAGCAGACCATGGAAACCAACCCATCTACGCATCCGCGGGCTGTCCAAAAAACGTGGACAATCCGAAACAGATACGGTCGTAGATATGCAAAGAGCCGCATACCTACGACCGTATCTCTTTCGGATGGGAGACGCCTAACTGGGTTACATGATCTAAGACAATGATATGGGAGGAGGGCTTATTTATACCTAGGGTGGCGGTGGAGTCAGGCTAGCGGGGCAGTGGCAAGTCGGGGCAGTGACGAGGCGATGCTGTGCAGGCAGACCCGCAACGCTGACGAAGAGGATCGGGGTCGCCGAGTCCCCTCTGACGTGCTCTTCTCTGCAAAAGAAGAAACACAATACTATAAGTTGAAAATTTTGGCAGAACCTCCCCTGTACGGGGAGGTTTCCAAAACCTGCAAGAAAAAACCGACACGATGGCCGACAACCACATATCAAGGGAACAAATACGGCACGATGGCCGATAGCCAGATATATATTAATCCACCACCAACACACCACCACTTCCACCACCACGACCACACCCCCACCACCACCACCACGACCACACCACGACATCCACCACAACGACCATGACCACACCACCATATCCACCACAACGACCACACCACCACATCCACCACAACGACCACACCACCACCACCTCAACGAACACACTACCCTCCTTCTCCACCTCCACCTCCACCTACACCTCCACCATTGCACGCCACCACCACCTCGACCTCCACCTAGACCTCCTCCTTCACCAGCATTGTACACCATGAAGCGAGGGAAGGGCATACCTGGACGTCGGAGGGACGTCGGAGGCCGCGGACGGGGCGAGGGTCGCGGACAGGGCGGCGTCAAGGGGCCAGGGCGGGGCACCTCGGAACGGGGGCGGGCACGGCGGACAGCGTGGACGGGGTTGGCGGGTGGCGCGGGGTCCTCCTCCTTCTCCGGTGGCCGGCGCGGAGGTTCTCCTCCTCCTCGGGGCGGGCCGGCCGGCGGGCGTGGGCGGGCGGCGCGGCCGGGGCGGGGCACCTCCGGCGGGTTGAGGCGAGCGGCGGGGTGGGGCTCCTCCGGTGGCCTGCTCCTCCTCCCTCCTCCTCTGGCGGCCGAGGGCCGGGGGCGTGCGGGGTGGCGGTGGCGGCCGGGCGCGGGGCGCGCGGGCCGGCCGCGCTACGGCGGGGGGGCGTGGGGCAGCCGGGCGCGCTGTGGCGGGCCGGGAGGGCGGCGGGGCACAGGGAAGCGGCGGGGCAAAGCAGCGGCGGCGTACCGTTCTGTGGGCGGGGTGGGCTCTGGCCGATTTTACGGTTGGCCCCTTTGCCGAGGGCCCAGATCCAGGGCCCTCGGCAAAGATTTTTTATTTTTTTTAAATATTCTTTGCCGAGGGCCATTGGCCAGGCCCTCGGCAAAGACCCCCTTTGCCGAGGGCCAGGCCTGGCCCTCGGCAAAGATTTTTCTGTGGGCGGGGAATTTGGACGGCTGGCCGATTTAGGGTTGGCCCTTTCCACATGTGGAGATGTCTGCGTTTTAGGCATCCGATGTCACAACTTGCTCGAAACCTTCTCAAATATTTACCACAGCCTACACATGCGATAACATGACACCTCGATAAGTTTCATTATTTTCGGACTTCGTATGAATTTTATATAATTTAAAAACACTTTTCTGACAAGCTCCTCGTCATGTTACGTGAAGAAGATGCCCGAAATTTGATGCGAGTTCGTGGATAGGGACTCAACATACACCAAATACCATGAATAACATTTTTCGAATCACTAAATTGCATTATTCCATCCACCTGCAGTTCAAATTTGAAATATTCGAAAAAAATCAACGAAAAGAAATAAATTAGGGAAATATACCAAAAAAAGTCAAATTTGGCCCAAATTTTAACATTGAGATTTAAATAATGTATTATAGCACCACAAAAAAATTGGGTTCAAAAAACCAAAAAAAAAAACTCTTTGCCGAGGGTCTAGCCTGGCCCTCGGCAAAGGGGGTCTTTGCCGAGGGCCTGGCCAATGGCCCTCGGCAAAGAATATTTAAAAAAAAAATAAAAAATCTTTGCCGAGGGCCTGACGGCGGGCCCTCGGCAAAGACTAATGCCAGTGGCTGCCGTGACCCATCCGGCCATATTTGCCGAGGGCCAATTTGCCGGGGGCTAGGCCCTCGGCAAAGATTTATTTTGCCGAGGGCCGTTTGTTTGCCGAGGGCCTATCTTTGCCGAGGGCTCCTGGGGCTGGCCCTCGGCAAAGACCCCCTTTGCCGAGTGCCCGAGATCTAGCCCTCGACAAATCCACAAGCCCTCGCCAAAGAGGACGTCTCCGGTAGTGATAGGACGTCACCAATCATAAGATTTTATTCTACACTGAGATCAATATTGCTCTCAAGCATTAAACTTCCGCTATCTCTGCAAGATCAGCGCATTCAAATTCAGGCATGCATTTCGAGAAGGAAAAGATGAAAACGAGAACTCTTTCTTAGATCAAGTACTGGAGGCCAAGAAAAAAAAACTGATGTACCAGAGCTGAGAAGAGCAGAGTTGAAGGATGCAAGCAACCGATGGTTGATACAGACGGGTGTCTGTATGTATGATGGCGTATTGGTTTAACTCAAACAGGATCTCGTCACTTGGCTGTCCAACAGAAATGTGAAGGAACAGGTGCACTGTCAAGCCACGTAAATCAAGCACAACTCTTTAACAGAAGATAGAGGGCTTTTTTACATAATGATGCTTTTTACATACCATAACAAACAGAGAGGGCGTAGAAACAGAAGATAAAGAATCATCTATGTTCCTCCTTTTCGAAGAATTGCTTCAGCAGGAAGAGAACGGAATCTTACAGAAAATATGTATATAGCTAGTAGACCAGTCTACAGATTCACTAAATTTTTCCCCGTGCACTCATCTCGAATAAGTTGTTACTAGAATAAACTTCTTCGAAACATATGCAAGTGGTGTCTAGTTTTGTTCACCTCGTCGCATAGAACATAATGGTGCAGACGGAATTGAAAACGGATGCACCGTTAGGAAGTTCTAGCATTTTGAAATAAATATTTTGTATTTTCCTAGGATGACGTCAGATGCAGGGAAAGGGATGAGGGAGCGGGATGTTGCGCCTGCTCTCTGCGGTGCGCACTGTACTTTACCAAAAAGGGGAAATTTTGTTATGCCGGAATATTGATCGCTACTTTCGAATGGACTGATCGTTCACGGACCAGTGGTGTCGCATCACATATGGTTGGTCAGGTTGTGCGAGACGAATGGATAAGCAGGCGGGCCAGGAATGATCACACACACAAACACACGCACACGCACACGCCGACGCCCACGCGCGCACGCACACACACGTGAAGACGTTCGAGCTGATGACGCGTAGCAGCACCTAGCTAGCGTGGACCGCGGCACTGCTCTTGCGAGCCCAATCACCAAGCAGAGATTCGTCTCTTGCGGTCCATGACTCCATATTGACAGGCGCTCCATGATGAGCGAGGGTCAGGTCAGGGCATCCCAAGACAAACCCAAGAGAATCAATAGAGATTAACCCTGATATAATGAGGCCCAGCAAATAACAACATAAAGAATAAGCTGTTCACGTTACATATTGACAAATGTCAAGCACGGCAAGCAACCATGCATACATTAATTCTCAACAGAGTCGACGGACTCAATTAGCTAGCATACCGCTGCTTTTATTTAATATAGTGCATAGACATTAGTTCAGGCATAGATATGAACGTATATATATAGGCATAAATAGAACAAAGCATTCTGGTAGGCAGACGCTCTTCTCCTTGGCGTTCCCACATCGATGAGCTCTCGTCTTGGGGCTTACATCATGAGCAGTCCCCCATCGTTCCTTCAGAAGACAAATATACAGAAGAAAAACAAAAAGAAACATTAAAGGGACAACACAAGAAAGGAGCAGGGACGCACAGCCAAATTAATGCCAAACCAGTTAGTATGTTCATACCTTGAGGCTGTGCTGCACACCTGACTGGGTGTATGATGTATCTCACTCCCTAGGCCATGTGAACACTTCTGAGGTCTTCGCCAGGGCATTTTTGGCGTCCGTGTTTGAGCCCTGGCACCCACAGTGAGGACAGGTCCTGCATATCCATGTCCAGCCACAGCTGCTCAAGACTACCCAACTCCTCGACCCGCCTTAAATTTGGACAGCGAGTTACCCGCAGCTCTCTCACGCGCGGAAGACTTGAGACCCTCTCTAGGACTTCGCAATCTGATATTAAAAGGACCTCTGAGAGGAAACAGATGTCCTCCACCACCTTAAGGCTGTGCACTTTTCTTAAATAGAGCTCCTTCAAGCTGGTGGCCTCCTGTCCAAACTGCTCTGGGAGAGCCCTCAGCTTGGGGCAGCGGACCAGGTCCAACCGCTTCAATCGTGGCAGCAGCTGTATCCTTGGAGGTGGGGCATCCCACTTTTGATTTGCAGCAGCCTTATCCTCTGCTCCTTCCGTGAATGCTGTTGTTGCTTCTTGTTTTTCTTCAGCAACAAAGGACCACTCCTCCCAGTTGGGCATATCCATGATGACCAATGTTTCAAGCTTGGGAAAAGCTACTGCCTCTGTAGATCTGAGATTACCCATCCCAGAGCCAACAAATTCGGGTCCAATCATGGTGACTGCAGTGGTTCCTTTGATTTTCAGATATTTCAAGTTGGGGAGCTGACCGATTGGTGGAAGATGAACACATGATTTGCAATCTATGAGCTTCAAGTATGTCAGTGAAGGCAAATGGGCAGCACTACCTAGCCAGACGGGAAACCTCCGACCAAAGAAATTCACAAGACAGAGATCCTCCAGGTTGTGTGCAGGGATTAGCAAATCAAAGGTTTCCTCAATATTGATTACAGCTTTTCAGAATATGGCTCACCTATGTGTTCAGTGCAACGTAGCACTAATTTTCTGAGATGTTTTTTGTTTGCTAGCAGTGAATCTTTACTAGGAGGAACTGCTCTTTCCAGTTTGATCATATCAAGCCTCCTCAACTGCCAAAGGGGATCCAATTCTTCTATATTCCATCCATCTTGCATTACAGAATTGTTATAAGAGCCGTCACCAACAGGAAAGCCTTGTAAATCGTTGAGAGAAATTAATCTGCCAATACCTTCTGGAACCTCATTTATTGGTGTATCGTCTAGGCCAAATCGCCTTAAGTTGCATAGCTGAGTTATTCCTGAGGGAAGACTATGCAAAGAATCACACCCCTGCAAATTCAATATCTGAAGGTTTATGAGACAACAGATGGACTCTGGAAGAGAAGATATGTCAGTCCCATCAAGGTCTAGTAACCGTAGGTGGATCAAACGTCCAATGCAAGGTGGAACAACTTGTATCTGTGAACCTGTCAAATCCAAAACTCGAATGCATGGTAATCTTTCAAATATTGTATCATCCACTCTCAAAGACTTTGTATCAGATGTTCTCCAAGTTCTCACTTTACATTTCCCCTTATCTGTTCTAGGTAACACAACCATATCATTCATAGTGACTGCTGAAATACGGCGGAATTTACTCATAACAGTAACCCCTGCTGAATCTGGATCACCAACAAAAAGTTCTTCTCTGGATAAATGACAAGCAAGCTGCCTTAGTAGATCATGCATTCTACATTGAGTAAGGTCAACAGAATAGTAATAATCTGGTTGGAGGAGATTTCGATAGATCAGCTCATAGTAGTATTCTTCTGCTATATCTTCAAGGACTCGGTCATCTTGCTCATCTATAAAGCCTTCAGCGACCCACATTCTTACAATATCATCACGGTAGATTACCGAATCTTCAGGGAAAATAGCACAATAGATAAAACATTGCTTCAAATGGTGTGGCAGCTCTTCAGTAACTTAGATATATAGGACTTGTTATTTCACTAGGAAGACTACTCATGGACCAAGCATCTTTTACCAAAATCTTCTTCCACTCATTCTCAGTTTGATCTTTGGTTGCCAAAACTCTAGCAATGACTTTAATTGCAAGGGAAGACCACCACATCTACGAACAATATCGATCCCTAAGTCATGTAGATTTTGTACTTCTTTTCTTCTTTGCTGCCCATGCTCTTCCATAGTAACTCCCATCCTATATCCAAAGGACATTAAATCAACTCGATGCGTATAGTCCATTCCTGTTTCTACAGCAACAATGTGTCAAATCGAGTTGTCAATAAAACTACTACTGAGATGCAGCATGTAGTGGGATTCTCAGTAGATTTGTCCATATGTCTGACTGCCACACGTCATCCAAAGACAAGAAAAAAAACTCTTATCCTTAATGGACAGTTCTAGCTTGCTTTGGAGCTCATCGGTTAATTCATCTGGCATGTACTGTACTTCAATTTTTCGTAGAATCTCCTTTAAAATAGCTATTTCAGAGAAATCTTGGGAAACACAAACCCATGCTTGTTTGTTGAAGCTCCCTTTAGTTTTTGGTCATTGTATATTTTTTGTGCTAGTGTTGTCTTACCAACTCCTCCTGTTCCAACGATAGCAAGCTTATAAGACCTTTTTTTCCTTATGTGCAAGCACCAAATCTACTACTTTTCTGCAAGCACGTAAGATCTCCTTACCAACAAGGTTTGGCTCAACAAGGCTGGAACTTCTTCTCTGTTTTGGTACAGAAACTGTTACAGTTGATTGTGTACTCTTGAGTGAAGTAAATACTTGATCCTTTGAAATATTATCAATTCTTTTGTTTAAGTTTTTAATCTTAACTGCAATCTCATGACGTGTCTGGATATTAAAAAGCAAGAGGAAAGAGAAAGGCCACTACATGTATTTGAACTGCTTGATACTAATGAAGAATGGCCTGGCAATAGCTTGCTTCCTTTGGATTTGGCCAAGTCAATGATATCATCAGCATCATACATAGCATCTCTTAGCTGACCAAGCCAATTGTTAACAGCAGATTCTTTTATGCCCCTTTTCTCTGCATCATTAAGAAAGTACCATATTTGCTCCATTCTTCTCTTCAGCTCTATGAGCTCTTCTTTAACACCTAAAATTAGTATGGCCTCCTCTGTAACAATATCTTGCAACTTCTTCGCGCATGATCCGACAAAAGATTCAAGTATGGTTGCCATCAGACCAAGATGGTTTGGGAGATCCACATAAAGAGTTGGAGGCTGGGCAATGAATGAGAAGACATGTTAACTTGGTCTCCAAATGTGATAACATTCATTAAATTTAACATATACCACTACTGATTTGTAGGGCAATGCTACGGTAATCGCATTACCTAATAGGAGGTAATAGCTCAAATCAGTCTGAACCGTTGATTTTTTATTATTTAATAAATAAATATAACAAAAAAGATTTTTCAAATCCTGTAATCACGGGAGTACAAGAAGCAAGCGGTCATTCATTTCTTAGTTCGTGTGCACGTTACATGTTATTATATGCGTATACATGTTATACATGCATCATACACCTAATCTTAACATGCATATACATCTTACATACATTTAAATACGCAAGTTAACACAGGAGGGACATGTTGCATCAAAAAATCATGAGCTAACATGACCACGGTACCTAACACGGAGTGTTACATGCATCATCAAAAGACTAACATGCTAATTAAAATAGATCAATCCAAAGTTCCAAAATAAAAAGATTTACCATATCTAATAGATTACACATGCATCAATTAGATGTAGAAAAAAGATTTTTATATATCTAAAAATTACCTTATTTATCCTATTTTACAAAATAAAAAATTAAAATAAATATATATTTTACATATTACTTCCTATTAGTCATTTGGGAGTGTCAGAGCAAAGCCCTTGTACAATAGGTTTCATATGAGTATAGTGAACTCACATCCAGAATTTTCGTGCACCTTGTTATTAAGTTATATAGGAATAAACATCATTTCTCTACCGTCAAAAAATCATGCATAATGCCATTCCATATGGATTAGAAACTAATAATACACTAGGTACATGACGGTGGTGGTTGACATGATATATACAGGAATAAACATCTTTTGTCTACTGTCACTAAATCATGCATAATGGCATGCCATATGGATTAGAAACTAATAATACACTAAGGAGATTTACTATGGTGCCTCCAAATGACTGTAAGCCCTTCATTAGATCAGACGGCTAGAATCATCTATTAGTTTCTAGGAGGTAATAGGTCAAATAGATATTTACTTAATTTTTAATTTTGGAAAATAGGATAAAATAAGGAAAGTTCTAGATGTAAAGATCATTTTTAGATCTTTGATGCATACAAGATCTATTGAGTGTGATAAATCTTTTTTATTTTTGTAACTTTGGATATGACATAATTTAGGTAGCATATATAAACTACCTATTTGTTTATGCCAGTAACCCTGTCGTACGTACATGTCCACAAGACATACTACAACATGTACGTGTACATGCCAAAAGACGTGTCCAACATACATGAAATTTACGTGTATACGTAAAACTTCACGTTACATGCTCAACATATAATGTGACAGCTATTAACGTTGGACACAAAACTTCACGTTGTTGATATTATTCAAGTATGCAACATATTTTTTTAACTGAGTATATAATATGAATGGTGTACAACTTTAACGTAATCTGTTGAAAAGCCATGCTGAAAAGTATTGTTCGCTGATTTGTTGTGATAGAAAAATATTATACCATAACTGATAAGCCAAGCTAATAAGTTCAAGCAAACAGGGAGGCCCCGTTTGGATCCTTGAATTGAATTCATTTTAAGAATCATAGTTTAGACACATATTAATTAAGTTAATATGGTTGTATATGAATTATATTTGTATATTATTGTTGACTATATAAGAGATACTTATGTGTTGCATTTCTACCGTAGGAGAGCGAGTTGAAGAGCGTATTATAAGTTGTAAAGTATAAATATAACATGGCGATCTGTAGAACCAATTTTCATCTCACATCTTATAAACTTGAGATAGGCTTATATATGAACTTTGGAAAGTGGTGGAATGTCAAATTCTAAGCTAAATAGCCTAGTTTATTAAGTAATTTCAATTCCTCCAAATGAAAGGATCAAAACGTCAGTCCAATTTTTTTTGTACGTGTAGTGTATACATGTATATATTAGCAAAAAGTAAAAGTAGAACTAAAATAGCAACTTATTCACGTTGAACCCAAAAGGAAGGGTCTGTCTGCACGGAAAAAGAAGGCGCCATGCGCTTGATTCTCTCTTCCGTGACTTGAGGATTTAATGATGTTTATTTTCTTTTCTTATATTAATTAATTAGATAATTAACTCAAAAATCCTTAAAAATCAATGGCTCGGATTTATTTGAGATATTACCTCTTAATAAGTAAAGAGGGCACCATAGCATTGCCTATACTAGGTACATGACGGTGGTGGTTGACAAAATGAGTAGTAAGGTAAAATATTGAGGTATAAACCCCTGTCTTAGCTTCCTTCTTGTCCCTTTTCTATTTCAAGTGTTGTAAGTTAAGGTACTCTAGATTTGATGTTATCAATTTCAAAAAGTACTTGGCATGTTGCACTTGCACGTAAAACCTCTACTAATACTTCCATTAGCTACACATTTCGATCTGGTAAAACATGATAATGGTCAGATTGCAGGTATATGTTGGATGTCTTACCTTAGAAATCTATCTTCCAACTAGAGTCAATAGTAATCCTCTTGTTGGCATATACAGTTCGTTTGGATTGTCAACCCATCCAGCGTACTGCACCGATGCTATGCGTGCAGATCAAAAGTAAATCCTTTGAAAAAAAACAATTTATTAAGTGGATAGAAGAAATTATCCGCCAATCACCAACAGAGAACCACAGATATCACAGCTAATTAAACCTGCAAAAACGAGAAAGAATTAAATGGCAAACCTCTTGCTTGTCAAAACAAAGGTTGTTCAATGACTGACAATTACTAGATGGTACCCATAATTAGAATAGTTCAGCAGAAAGTTAAAGCAAGAAGAGTATCACTGTATTTAAGCTATGATGGTGGAGCAGTAAGTACCTGATTACAGGTCAACTGATAAGCCACTAATCAGATGGTACACATCAAATAGATCAGTATGTGTCGATGCTATTTTTCCTTTTTAGCTCCCAACAGGATCACTTTGGTTAGAGATGAACTCGCTCAAAGATGAACTCGCTCAACAGAAATGGGCACACAGAGCATTAAACCTGTGCCAGCTCTGCTTGATCAGCACATGCAAGTCTAGAAATCATCTTCAATGAAGGAAATGAGTGTGACAATATATAAGAACTAGTAGTAACCATCTTGCAGAAGCAGTTCCTCTAGATCATTACAGGTGAGTACGTTTAAGATCTTCAATACTGAGGGAAGGTCTTTAGACACCAATGTATATAATAAATAATGGAGGACAATCACTGGATGCCACGGCAAGTCCTGCAAAATGTGGTGACAACTAGAACAGTTTAGCAGGATCAGTGACAGCCTCGTTGATCAATACCTACAACTAGGACAGCCAACTAGAAGAATTATTACCACTGAATCAGAATTTTCAGCACAATTAGAACTAGAAAACGTAGGTCAACACAGGACAACTGGAAAGGCACTTATCAGACTGCTTCTTATGGAGATCAATTTGTCCCGATGTAAATTGTTGTGGTCCTGATTGTAGGATCTCTTCAATCTGTAGTCCTACAGAAACGGATGTAGCCTCAAGCTTCTGCTATCTCTGCATCACCAGGCAATACTATGAGAACAGAAACCAACTAAATCAGACTACCTTCTTAACTAAGTAGAGGCCATGAAGGTTTTTCAAGAAATGACAACATACCTTAGGAAGAGCATCGTGCACGACGAAAGGTTGCAGCAATGGAGGAGCAAATGGAAACTAGAGAGACCTTGTGGCAAAATGCCTCTTACGAGTGGGAAATAAGATGTGTGGAAAAGCGTAGACTAAAAGGCAGTGTGTGCAAAGACCGCTGAACCTATGGTATTTGATTATTGAGAATACTAAGCAGCCTATTGGCTGTTTAATGGCATCGATAAGCCTATGGTTAGTTGCCCATGTGATTTGTTTACCTCGAGATTCGACAAGCACATGTGAAACTGGCAGTCACCGTAACCTATTCAGGTTTCTTTAATAGAGTGTTTGGTTTGAAAAATAAACTAGTCGGTCGTCTTCTCACTTCTCACTTCATCAGTCCATTGCTTACAAACTAATAATTAGTACTCGTATGAGAAATGAAGTTATTTGAGTATTTGATCAAATTTGAGAAATAAACTCATGACACGCCACCTAATCTAGAATGAAGTTACTCCTCGAACCTAACACACTACAAGTGTTAACCAAATGAAGACAGCTTCTCTGTTTGATTTTTGTTTGTACGAACTCGAACTGAACATGAAAATAAAACATGCTGCCAATGGCAGGTAGCTTAGCCATGTGCAGCGATTTAATTAACATAAAAAGTCGAGAAAGTCCATGTGCTAGAGTCAAGAGAAAGAAGCAAACACAGCTGGACATCGACGACCCCCCAGACCCTGTCCTTTGTGTGTGCTTCTTTCAAATTTTGAAAGCAGTCAAAATATAGGAAAGAGAGTAATTAAATTGGACCGTGCACGGCAACCACAGCCAGATGCTCCCACTCTCACGAAAATTTAATAGTGGAGAACATTAGACTAGATAAACTTGAACCAATTTGATGTGAGCCATCAGCAAGAAACAAGCATGGAGCCTCCTAGAGGCAACGGCATACTATTTTGAAACAATGGCAACGGCATACTATGAGCTGAGCAGTGGGGAGTAACCAGTGGGGTCCATTGAAAGTAGTGAGCACTTCTGCCTAAAAAGCAGTAAACTAAGACGCCAGCCTAGCTTTTGCCTGCTTATGGGCATCGACTTTAGTTAATTATATACAGCTAGTAAAGTTTAGGATGTCAAATGGTGTTACATGTGGGTATTGCATGAGGTGTTCGGATACTAATAAAAAAACAAATTACATAACCCGTCAGTAATCCGTGAGACGAATTTATTAAACCTAATTAATCCATCAATAGCACATGTTTACTGTAGCACACCATTGTCAAATTACGGACTAATCAGGCTTAAAAAATGCGTCTCACAAATTAGTAGCAATTTGT